GATGCAGATACAAACTATGGGCTCATCTATATTGGCCCCTTTTCCGGAAGGGGCATGTTAATTTCAGAGATCGTAATAGGGAAATCCACGGGGGATTTAAATATCCCCCGCGGCATTTAAATAAAAATGTCCGCTGCTTTTTTCCGGCTTTTAGAAAAGCAGGAAAAGAGCGTCTACACTGGCCCTGATCCTCCGGAAAAAGCGCCCTTTTCCGGAGGATCTTATTCCTACTTTGAAGTACTACTTTGAAGTAGGAATAAGATCCTCCGGAAAAGGGCGCTTTTTCCGGAGGATCGGGGCCAGTGTAGACGCTCTTTTCCTGCTTTTCTAAAAGCCGGAAAAAAGCAGCGGACATTTTTATTTAAATGCCGCGGGGGATATTTAAATCCCCCGTGGATTTCCCTATTACGATCTCTGAAATTAACATGCCCCTTCCGGAAAAGGGGCCAATATAGATGAGCCCATAGTTTGTATCTGCATCTATAACCGTATCTGCAAAATTAACTGTGGATATCTACATCCACATATTTCTTGAGTTGTAACTGCTGATCTAGATACATCAACTAACATGGATGTAGATATCTGCAGCTCATTTTTTATGATGATGGATACAAATATGGATATAAATTTTATTTCTGCCAGGGCTCTATATATTAGCTCACACTCAATATGCCAATAATTCACAGAAAAGCAATTTAAAGAACTTGATGTAAAAAGTCTTCTCTCTCTTTGTGTATAGACTACTGAACACTTTAAATTTAGATTCCCAATAATTAAACAACTGAACAATTTAAATTTGGATTCCCAAATATTTATTTCATTTAGATACAAGAATATTATATGTGTATTTAAAAAGCTAATGTTTGAAGTCCTGATTTCACTACCTTTGCTTCCAGGAGTCATATTTTACTTCATTCCAATGGGATTACTTATGAAGCTAAGTATCACTTTAAGAATGGCTGGTTGAAAACAAATCCACTAATGTTAATAACAACAGTTAACCATGTACACATCATCTACAAAGTTACTAACCCACTATACAAATACTTTAATTTTGTACTTCCCATAAAGCAACTATCTTTATTTAATGTGTTTTTTGAAGCCTCAGAAGAAAACACTACTATAGTGAACATCTTTTTACATCACAGCTCAAATCTTTACTTCAAATAAGAGACCATACATCAGTATTTTTCTGCATTAGGAGATGAACAGATCAAAGGACCAAGCAATAATCATGTTCAGAGAGATGCTGGATGGAAAACCATAAAATAAATCCAAGGCAAATTTTTAAAAGTGCATCGATGTTACCTTTGATAGTCTTAAGATATTAAAAGTACTGCTTCTTCTGTAGTCATATATTTTACCTTCATATTTTCCTTGCCAGCGCAAATCCAGATGCAAATATTTCCAAAACAGATTTTAGATATATAGACAGACAGACTTGTAGGTAACTCCCAAAGGAAAAAAATCCCTCATATCAAAGAAAAGGAAGCAAAACAAATAAAGGTAGCTTTAACTCTCAATACCAGAAAAAAGGAAAGGAATCTATTTTTCAATAAGATGAAAGTGCTATGAATTATAAGGAAGGGTGAAAATATTTATACAGTCTAAGTTATCAGGTTTGTAGCCAAATCATGCACTGAAAAGTAGAGTTACAATAGGAAGTCCAAGGGATTATGGAACTATTGCTTTTTTACCTGGATGCATATATTCTTTGTAGGGATATAATTATTGACTAGCTGAGAACAGAGTAAGGGCTGGCCAATCAATAATTCTGTTTCATGAAAAAAGTGTTGAAATTTAAAATTACTTTTGTTCTGATGTAGAACAAAAGCAAGACCTTTTGAATGTTCAAAAATGAGACAAGCAGGCCAGTCCCAGGTAGCCCCATATTCCAATATTTAGGGTATCCCCAGAGATAGGGAAGATGCAGGTTATACTCACTGCTTCAAATTAACCAGAGCAGGGATTAGAAACTGGGTTTACATACACCACATGTGAGTGCCCTAAACACCAGAAATTAGGTATTCTGGCCTAGGTCTCACCCTCTCTCAAATTACATCCTGGACGGAAGTAAGCAAGTTAAAGTTTTCATTAAAAACATTATGTTTTAGCAAAACATTTCTGTTTCAACAAAACATTTTTTAAAAGAAATATGTTTCATCCAAAAAAAATGACCATTTCTAGTTACTGGTTTTGTCTCTTATTTAAAGGTCTAATTTAATTCTAATTGAGGCCAATAAGGAGTTTTTCCAGTGCCTTTAATTAGAGCAATATCAGAGTTTAAGAGTTTCAATTAACTGAGAAAGTAAGTCTGCTGAAAATGCTCTCGTACTAAAAGCATCAAATAACTACAGATGTTTACTCTGTGTTTTTGGACTTTTCTCATCCTTTCAGCCTTTGTTAATCTTACAGTATAACAACTTTAACATCTGCCATTAGTTAAATGGTTTCTGTACCCAATCTCACCCAAGAATGCACTTCCTATTCTGTCCATTAGCTTGGGAATAGAACAATTTCTCTGTAAATCTATATTTGAATTTCACACTAATTGGTCAATTGGAAATATAACTGAACCATAGGTCAGCCAGTGTAGATTTTCCATTGATTTTCTTGGGATGATCCTATTAAGTTTCCTAATGGTGAAGATGTGAAGGAAAAAAAGTAGCAACCCCTTCCTACTCTCTCCCTCCCCCCACAACAGCTACAGAAATCAATCCTAATGCACATAGCTACAAGGGTACTTCTATCATAAAAAATTGTAAAAAAAAAACCTTGGGGTTTGTCTATGTAGTATAGCAAAGTGCATTAGAGGGGTTTGATCTGTAAAGCGCTTTAACATGCTGCACTCTAACAGCCTGGTATAGACCCTGGTAGTGTTCTCTAAAAGGTTTATAATCTATGTTAATGTCCTATTGGAAACAGGACTACTTTACTGTACACGGGATACCTTTTAGAGCATGCCAGCAGGGCAGTTAGAGCACAACACATTAGAGTGCTGAATAAATCATACTCTTCTAATGCGCTTTGCTGTCCTGTGTAGACAAACCCTATATGTTTTAGTGTCTACAATGTACTTGAACTGTATTTATCTATTTGCAGCCAGATAATGCATCTTAGTTAATACTCTTAGTTACTATTATTCAATGGGTATGGAAGAGACATATTTAAGGGGACTTTATCAAAACTAAGAGACAATGAGACAATGTTATTATATCAAAGAGTATATGACAGAAAAATACAGTCCTGCAACTAACTGCACAGTGCAGGGCCCTGCCTGCCCAGGTTTGGGTTTTGGGACCTATAGTGGGGTGGCTGCCTCATAATGGCCAGAACAGATTAAAGCAGGCTGAAGGGAGCTTGCACAGAGCCCTGGCCAACCAGAAAGGGGCTTAGAGGGAGCCAATGAGAGCGCGGCTTGCTGGAACAGCCCTGGTTATAAGGAGCTGCTTATCAGAGCAAAGGACAGTTGGACCCTAAACAGGGAGGTTTCAGCAGCACTGGTTCCCAGGAGGAAGCATCTCAGAGGGGAACAGTGCTGGGCAGGCTCAGGAGAGAGCTTCAGCCTTTTGCTTTTAAGGTTCTGGCCTTGATACAAGGGCCAGGAGGGTATGAGGATCATGGGAAAGTGACCCAGGGAACAGAAGGCAATTAAGAGAGAGGCGGTCAGGACAAGGATGACACAATAGGGTCCCTGGACCAGGACCCAGAGTAGTGGGTGGGCCTGTCCGCCCCAGCGCAGCATATAACCAACATTGGTGTGTAGCCTTGATAGACTGTGGCTTGTCCCTAAGGTGAGGGGTTAGACTTTGGGGCTGCAGTGAGCCACAGTGGCAAGTGTACTGCTGATACCCCCAGAAGGTGGGGGTGAGAGACCAGTGTGGTGGGCACTGCCAAAGGATAACGTCCCAAAGAGGACTTTGTGATCCTAGGAGCGATGCAGGTCCAGAGGAGAGCCCGCAGAGACACTGGTCAGAAGGGCCACCCTGCTGAGGACTGAGCTAATTCCCAGAGCGACCAGCAGGAGGCACCGCAATGGTGTCTTGACCCCATTGCAGAGCCCAAATTAGGAAAAAAAAGCAATGAATTACAAGACAAAGTAACGAGCAGGCAAATAAGGTTAAATGGATATGGAATGAGTAGCTACAGTGTGCAAGAGTAGGAGCCAAGAAAATAAAGAAAGAAAAGCAGGCAGAATTCAAGGGTTAAGAGGGACAGCAATGGTCCAGGAGATAGAAGCCAGGGCAATTACATGCATAACTTTAAATGTGGGCCAGAAATTGAAATAATAATGAGGATTTAGAACTTAATATGGTAAAGAGGAGGTCCTTGTCATGCAGTTTGAACTATTGTCCCATTGGAGGTGCCTGAATACACTAGGAGGGCATCATTCTGTTCTGAGCAAACTCTGAAAAGCATGACAACTATTGTCCAGTGTTTTCATACTGAAGGAAGAAGAAACCTTGATATTCACCAAATTTTATTTTTTCTGCATCATGCATACACATATCCTGGTAGATTTCATGAGCATACCCACACCTCTGATGCACATATCTGATGACAAAGTCTCCCTTATTTGAAGTATGGCCCCATCAATGGTACAAATGGAAAGAAACTGAATACAACTATAAGGGCAGCATTGATATTTTTTGGTGCTTTTAAATGCTAAGCATGATGCAATCCTTTTGAATATGAAGCATTTTGAAAAGTTATGTACAAAAAAAGAAGATAGTATGGGCATTACACATACTCTTTCTTGTTCAATGAATTAAAAACTGAATAGCCTAACGTAGAGAACCTGCCTCTCAGGAATCATGGTTTCTCTCCACAAGTCAGTGGATCCTCCCTCCAATTGTAAGATGTTATCTTCACAATCAGGGCATTTGTAAGTAAGTGTTAATAACTGTCAGAGTTTTCATAGTAACAATATATCCCTCAGTTATTGAACAACAAAGTGATTTGCATTTTCTTCTCACTTGCCACACTTCCTTAGCTCTTACCTTCCAGACTCAAATGTGAACCATGTTGAGTCACGCCCATATCTCCTCAAAGAACTCAGAGGCCACATGACCAGCTTGACCTTGGCATTATGAATATCCCAGAGATAGATGTTCTCATGAGTGATCTGCATTGTACATTCCCCATAGATATCTAAATTTGGTGTAGGCATAAGATATACGTTGAATCGCTCTAGGAAAGAAAAAAAACAAGAGGGAAATCTGGTGAAAATGAGAGTTAATCTGAAAAATTAATATAATATCAATTTGCCTGGCTACAGATTTTGAAATTATTTTAGAAATCATGAGCCAGATTCTTCGCTGATATAAATAAAGTCAAAGACACCATAGCAATTTACGTAAGAAATAAGAATGGACATACTGGGTCAGACCAAAGGTCCATCTAGCCCAGCATCCTGTCTGCTGACAGTGGCCAATACCAGATGCCCTGGAAGGAGGGAACACAACAGGTAATTCTCACGTGATCCTCTCCTGTCACCCATTTCCACACAAACAGACACCATTCCTTATTCACTTGTTCCACACTAGTCATGATTTTATTGCCCTCTCATAGCCCCTTTTACACCACATCAATGAAGGATCTAGCTCCAGACATATTATATACAATACATTTAGCAATACTACTCACTGAGATCTTATCAGCATTAAAGATGACTTTCTAAGACATATTGAATTACTTTAACCTTGTCGGTGGTCATTACCCTCACTAATGATCTTGCAATTTCGGAGGGCATCTCTAGCTAACTTCTGAATAGACAGAGAATTACACTGACCTAACAACTTTTAAAGATCCTTTATGATACAGGGGATCAAATTTTCAATACACAGAAAAACATGCATACTGGCAAAAATAGTTGTGCAACTGTTACATGTACAAAAACTGTTTTTGTGTATGAAGACCCACCACTGCTTGGACATATCTGTTAACTATCCATAATAGTCTGAATAGGAGGGACACTTTTTTATTTTTTACTCAGATGTGCATTAGTCAAATAAAGGGCTGAACTGTACATTTTTGACCACCCATCTGTTGCATAAACACTTTAAAATGTAGTTCTATAGAATACATTGGGAAGTCACTTCCCATGTTGTTACTAGATGTACTATTATTCCATAATATAGACCTGTCAATACACTAAGGCTGCATCTACACTGGCATGATTTTGTGCAAATACTTTTAACGGAAAAGTTTTTCAGTTAAAAGTATTTGCGCAAGAGAGCGTTTATACTGGCATGTGCCTTTGCGCAAAAGATTTGCTTCTGTGCAAAAGCATCTGTGCCAGTGTAGATGCTCTCTTGCGCAAGAAACCTCCGATGGCCATTTTAGCCATCGTGCTTTCTTGCGCAAGAAATTAACATTGCTGTTTACACTGGCCCTCTTGTGCAAGAATACTTGCGCAAGAGGGCTTACCCCTGTGCAGAAGCTTCAGAATATTTGCACAAGAACCACTGATTTTGTACACTACAAAGTCAGTGTTCTTGCGCAAATACTCACGGCCAGTGTAGACAGGCGGCAAGACTTTGCACAAAAGTGGCTGCTTTTGTGCAAAATCTTGCCAATGTAGACACAGCCTAAGCAGAAGGTCAGATATAAGACAACATTTTTTTAAAGAGCCTCAACAATGAAATGGAGTGAGTAGTCAAGCTTTGAAAAAGTATTAGGGTATGTCTACACTACCCTCCTAGTTCGAACTAGGAGGGTAATGTAGGCATACCGCACTTGCAAATGAAGCCCGGGATTTGAATTTCCCAGGCTTCATTTGCATAAGCGGGGAGCCG